CATCCATCCATCCATCCATCCATCCATCCATCCATCCATCCATCCATCCATCCATCCATCCATTCCTTTCTTTCTTTCTTTCTTTTTTTCATTCCCTCTTTTACACTCTTTTAATCCGACATTTTTTCATTCATTCTATCATTTCATTCATTTATCTATTCATCTTTTTTCATCTCATTTCATTCCTTTCAATCCCCCATTCATTCAGTCAAAATTCATTTATTTGTCATCTCATTTAATTTGTCTTATTTCATTCGTTTTGATCGCCAATTCATTCATATTTTTTCCATTCATTCGTTCACTGACTTTATCTCATGCTCACTTAACCAACTCCATCATGTTTGGTCTCCCTGTGGTTTCCCTTCATTCTTTTTAAGCCTCTCAACATGGAGGACGGAACTGTTCTACGCCAACGAAACCACTCGTCTACGAACGGAGGTAAAACCGTTTAAAACCTTAAAATCACCATATTTATTCTTCAACAAACTACTAACCGATAGATCGTATTTTCTAGGAATGGCATCGAATCATTTTGACGAAATTCGAGATTCAATTCGTACACAAGAACTTCGACGTCGCACTGATGTAAGAAAGCACAAGACCAATCTCATGTGACTTCTCGCCTGTAATTCTCTTTAATTCTCACTCCAGGGTGCCTTCTTTTCAAGTCTAAAGATAATTCTAGAATATTTTCTTTTATAGCAACTTCGTACGGATATTTTAGAACAAATCGACGGGCAATTATCTGACCTTTTTGATGATGTCATTCAAGGAGTTGAAAAACCAGACGAGATTTCTGATCGTTTTACGTGAGTATTTGGTTTAAGAATTAGATTTTATGTCATTTGAAGAACTCCTCGTTATTTCACTCCTCGTTATATTGAATGGTATATTCTAATACGGGTCAATTATTTATACTTTTTTWGTCCAACAAGTCCACATGTACAGAAAATAAATCCTAAATTCCTATAAAAGTCACGGAACTGTTAGTGTTAAATATTTACTTACTAAAAGCTTAACTTAAGCTAAAAAAATTTTTGTCTCCTCGTTCTGGAGATGCGACTTTTGAGTAAAGATTAACAAAGAAATCCTCGAAAAAATAAGCACATAAATTTTATTGTAGTATTCAAAGTTACTWATGCTTGCAGGTTCAAGTGATCAATGTAAAATCTACTGTTCAATATACATATAATTCATTAGAAAATACCTGTCATGAATCTCACTTTCTGATTGGATGGGAGCGTGTGCATTATGAGAGAACACAGCACATGCACACACTTTTTATTTTGTCATTATATCCATAATAACAGTTGCTCTAATTTTTATTTTATAAAAGAAATAGAAAATTTTGCTTGCTGTGCTGTGTACATGTAGTCCATAAAGCACTTGAGGGTTAAGGCCCTGTTACAAGTTGAAAATTTCGTTCTGAAACTTGCTTGCAACAACGTTCCGAGACAAGTTTCATGGGTGTTAACGGCGCAATTTAGGTTTTGTGAAACTTTTGTCGTAAGAAAGTTTCACGAAAAGTAGAACTGCTTTCTACTTATGCAACTGTAACTTGTGTTGGGAACAAGTTTCAGAACGAAATTGCACCGTGTAACAACCCCGTGAAACTTGAAACACGTAACACGATTTTTAACTAAAGAAAATTGAGAAGCATATCATGCTTTTTTTAACAATGTATTCATTTTCTGTCAATCCCTGTGTGCTTTATAACTGCACACAGCACATGCCTGTGTTTTCTATGTCTTTTTAAAAAAATCTGGTTATGACCCYTGAGCTTATACAATTTCCAAAGGGTTTTGAGTGGACTCATAATCTTAACAGATTAACATTGTGTTGTTTGGTTGGCCACCACGACTAWAGTCCATAAATAGAGGGGGCTTAAAATTGTGAGAAATTTTGTGGTCATCTGAGTTATGGGTTTTATTCTCTTTACAGAGATAAAAGTAATGGCAGCAAAATATTTAAAGCAAGGCACTCAGTACTCACGTAAGTGATTGATTATATTTCTTATTTATT